ACTTGCTGCCGAGACTGACAACCTGAGTTTGATCCATGGACCCTGCATGATGGAAGGAGAGAACCCACTCCTGAAAATTGTCCTCTGACTTCTACAAGCATGCAGTGGTGTGCATAGCCCTTTCTTTACACACACACACACACACACACACACACACACACACACACACACACCCCTAAATTTTTAAACACTCAAATCTAAACTACTACATGAGGGCATAAATGGAAGCTGGAAAGAGCCCTTGCACAGAGCCCAGACCACTGTAACTCCCACGGAGCAGAGGAGAAAGCCAGTGCTCAACAAAGGGTTACTTGGTTATTTGTGTGTGTGAATATGCGTGTGTGTGTGTGTGTGTGATCATGCACACTCACTAAGCCTGGCTACCCACAGGCCTTCTCAAAGCAGCTTCACAGGGCCAGCTGCCTATGGCCAGAAGGGCATCACCAGAGAGGAACCCTCAGCTCTGACTGCATGAAACTGGGAAGCATATTTCCAACTTCCTCAGCCTATCAATTTCGACAACTCCGAGGTGTGGTCCATGTCTCCCGTGGGTCCTCAACAAGATGGAATCCCATTGCCAACCTGTTCACCAATACAGCCTGAATTTTTCCCTCCCTTCCCTCCCCTCCCCTCCCCTCTCCTCCCCTCCTTTCTCTTCCTCTCTCCATATCCCATTCCAGACCACTGCTTCCTGGCATTGATGTCCACATATGTAAACTGTATTTAAGTCCTTGTTTCAGAGCTAGTGCTGGGGACACCCAGTCTCAGGCAGATGTAATTATAGACTGTGACAACTGTGAGGAAGGAGAGGGCCTGAGTGCCCTAGTGTCACATTCTGACAAAGTGATGACTGAGGCGATGGCTAAGGAGGAGCAGGAAGCTGGTTAGGACATCATAGTGAAACATGATAACCTGCAAGCAGGAAGTGGAACCCGGCCTGACAGCACTGGGCTCTTCCACCACTGGGCCTTACAGGTGTAAGGAGTCAGAATCTGAACAGTCTGCTTGATCAGGGCATGTGTGCTGATCGAGAATGTCGTTGAGTGATTTGAATACTGCTCTTGGTATTGGGTGCTTGTAATTTTTTTCTCCAAAAACCAGCAAGGGAAAGGGGGTGGTGCTGGCAGGCAGGCTGATGGAGCCATGCTTCAGGGGCCCTGTGGGAGTGGAGAGATCAAGAAGCCATTACTGTATTCACATTGCATGACTGACTGACTCTCAGTGACTGTACCATTTGGTAAAGCCATTTTTTAAATTACTAAGGCTAGAGAAGAAGCTAGATGGTGAAGACCACTTGCTGCTCTCACAGAGGACCTAGGTTTGGTTCCCAGCACCCACAAGTTCTAGGGGACCTGATGTGCTCTTCTGACTTCTGTGGGAAGCAGGCAAGCACATGGTACACAGATATACATGCAGGAAAAACATACATGGTTCCTCCTGGGCAACTTAGTGTGACTGTCTTTAAAAAACAACAAACAGACAGGCAATGAATACCTGAAATAGGTTCAAAAAATGATGGAGGGGGCACAGATTTCAAGCATTAGGTCTGGTGGCTTGTTTTGTTTTTGTCTTTTTACAGGACCTCACTGCTGCTCAGGCTGGCGTCATATTCCTGCCTTCAGAGAGCTTCCTACTTCACCCTCCTAGAACCTGAGAGGACAGTAATGTACCACTTCACACTGACACTTCTGTTTGATTGCTGCAGAGAGCTGGAAACGGGGCTTCATGCAAGTCAGACAAGTGTTCTACCACTGAGCTGCATCCTCAGCCCTGAAATAGATACATTTTATGATGGGATGCCCATCACTACAAGACAGTACTATTTAGCTATAAAAAAGGAAGTACTGCTACGTGCTACATAACCTGAGTAGACTTTTAAAGTACTGTGCCATGCTGGTGTGTAGCTCAGTGGTAGAATGCTTACTTAGTATGTGAAGGGTTCTGAGTTCAATGCCCAGTACCAGACTCAATCCCTCAATCACACATACTGTAGCTGTGAAATGGACCAGAAAAAATGTCATCAGCAGCTAACTCTGGATACAAGCTGGGGCATGTAATCCTAGAAGGCTGCTGCAGACACACCCCAAATCACAATAGCTCTGTTTTTATACCCAGAGTCTTTGTTTAAAGTTTCTCAACTGCGGGCTCCTGCAAAATAAAATAATAAATTAGATACTTTCTTACTTTAAGAGGGAAGAACCAGCGCACGGTCATGATCTGAACAAAGCAAAATAAAGGCAGCAGCGTAAGTAACTCACTGTCCATATTGGGATGAACTCATGATCTTCTGGGCTCCTCCAAGGGACTTGTGTCACTTTTCTGGCTCTGCTGTCTGCAGCACATGCGGCTTGTTATTTAAGTTTAGGCAGGCTATACTCCACTGCTGCTGTTGTTCGTGGTGGTCATCTGTGGGGCTGGCATCACTAAAATGCTCCTTGGGTCTTCTGCTGCAACTGGCTGCACCTTCACCAATAGCATCTCTTGGACTCTCTTCACCGTACCAAGCCAGACTTTTCTGCAGGACCCCTTCAATCCTGGGGCTTCAACTACTTCTGAGGCTGCACCTTCATCAATGGCCTCTCCTGGCCTTTCACAGTGCCAAGGCTCTCCATGACCCCCTCAGGCTTCAAAATCAGTACCTCCTGAGAATGTATACATTACCAAGTTTGGCTGCCAGCACGAGGTACAGCCTAGGCTGTCTCTAGAACACAGCTCATGTATGCTGACTCTCTGGAAACACTTCCCACATGATTTCATCTCAATGGTGCTGGTCTCTTCTTAATCACTGCCAGTTTCTCAGCTCCAGCTCACAGCAAAGCAAAAGTTTCACTTTTGTGGATCTAGTCTCTTATTAATATGGCTGATTCTTCAGCCCCAGCTGACTAGACACCAGGTATTATTCACAGAAATGATCCACTAGACTCTTGACTTTTTTCTGAAATATCACCAGCCAGGTCTCCACCATCTGCATTGCTCTCAACACTCTTCTAGGCCCCTAAAGAACAGCTCACTGGGCTCTCAACATTCAATGACTTTCCTAGTCCAAAGTCCTTACACTATCCTCCCAAAAATAACATGGTCAGGTCTGTCACATCTCTACCCCATGACCTGTTTTAATTAGTGTTACTATTGATGTAAGGAAACACCTTACTCCAAAGTAACTTTGGAAAAAAAAGGGTTAATTTGTCTTACATATCCTGAGTCATAGTCCACAGCGGGAGCCAAGGCAGGAACTCAAACAGGGCAGGAACCTGGAGGCAGGAGCTGATTGGAGAGGCCACGGGAAGTGCTGCTAATGGCCTTGCTCCTCATGGCATGCTCAGCCCACTTTCTTGCAGAACCCAGGACCACCAATGCTCAGGGGTGGTCCCACCTTCAATGGGCTGGACCTTCCCTCACCAATCACTAATTAAGAAAATGTGCTGCAGGCTTGCCTGCCTACAGCCTGACTTTTGGAGGAATTTTTTTTTTCTTTCAGTTGAGGCTCCCTTCTCTCAGATGACTTTAGCTTGTGTCAAGTTGACATAAAACTAGTCAGCAAACCCACCATGTCCTCTCGTAGGTCCAAGGAATCAAGGCGTCTGTGTGGGAACTAGCCTGAACCTGAAGAGGGTTCAGTAGCAGAAGACATGGATTTCTTCCTTCAGGGATGGAAGAGACTGGGAGATGGGAGATCTCACATACTCCCCCAGAACATATGGTCTCCTCTATGGGTCTTTGCTGATGCTCTATCCTTTTGCCTGGGGTGCTTTTTTTTTTTTTTTCCCTCTATTGAAACTTGGGCTTAGCCATTTTCTCCTGTAGGAAGGCCTCTTTGTTTATTCAGTTTCTCTCAATTTTTCATTTCCCACAACAAGTGTTCCTCATGCCAAGCTGTCCTTTTCTGTGCTTTTGTCTATCTTTCTATGAAAATAGAAGTGGCCTGAAGCTTATAACTTCCATGAAAGGAGTATTTATCAAACACCTTCTTCAGGCCAGGCCCTAATCTAAGAGGCTTTGGTGGGGGTGAAAAAGTTGGAAAGGTTTTGTTGTTGTTGTTGTTGTTTTGTGTGTGGTGGGAAAAGGTATGCTGTGCTTGTCCCAATTGGTTAAGTTTGCTAACACTCTTGAGCGACTCTCAGTGACTTAACATAAGTTTGTTTGTTGCACACCCAAGTCTGGGGTGGTGACTCATCTCTAACTTCCATCAGGTAAAACCAGCGCCTCAAAACCATCTACCATGTCCTCTGGCAACTCCATGTGCAGCCTCAACCACCGTGGTAGGAAAAAAAAAAAAGCGGGGTGGGGGGGGGAGCTCGGGATGTCCTGATAGAGCCACAGGGACCAATTGAGAAACATCATAACATCCCATTGGCCAGAAGTGGACACGTGACTCTGTTATACCCGCTGAGGAGGCTGGGAAATGTAGTTGCACACTATAGAGGCACGCTAATCTAACACCAGCAAGAGCTGTGCAGTCTCAGGCTGAAGGAGAAGTTGGACTCAGTTAAAAGTTGCAAAGGGGCCAGTTCCTTCACTTAGATAGTAATATCACCTAGGAGGACTGTGCGGCATCACTTCGCGGCACCCCTGTTCGGGACAGTGATCAGGTGACTGCTCCCTCTTAGCCTGCCGCTCAGGACTGACTTCGGAAGCTCCCTAGTTTTATTCTCTTGACTGTATCCTTTGCCCGGTTCATGTTTCTGCCACAGAACCAACACCCCCGCCCCCCTCACACACACTGCATCCCCTCCCTCCACCCCCAAATCTGGTAGACTCAAGGCTCCACAACATCCAACAGTCTTCGCTAGTCACTAATTCCACGCACCACACCCAGCCGATCAAAAATTCCAGAGCCAGACCCTTAGCCACAGTAACATTGTGTTCTGAGACTGTCGACATGCAAAAGGGTCCTGATTTCCTCAGATAAGAGAGAACCCTTTTAATGTCCTCCGGGAAGAGCTTGTGGCTGGGAGCCAACCCAAAAGCCCCCAAAGAAAAACCTCAATCTAGACAGAAGAGCAGAGGAACAAATGACCTGGATATATTTTATTGTCATCGAGATGAACAAGAGCAGGGTTATATACAAGATGTGACCCCCCTCCCCTAGGGCATATCTGAATATCTCCCAAGCTTAGGGCCCTCAGCCTTAGGGGATGTGCTCAAGTTATACCAGGTTGGTCTTGCCACAAGGGGCAGAGGACAGAAGTTAGATTTTAACACCAAAACTTTTCAACCCCACTCTTTTCCGAGGAAGTTCTTTAGGAGATGTAGAAGAACAATCTTGGGCCAGCACTGACGGGGTGCAGGACTGTGGGAACAATTGGGAACAAGCGCTCTGAGATACCCCCAACCCAGCGTCTTTAACTTCTTGACTGGCTTCCTGGAGTCCCTGAAGTGGGCAAGGAAGGGACTGGGTGGACACTATGTACAGAGGGCTCAGGTTTAGCGTCTAAGATGGAAAAGATGATGAAGGGAATGGGATGGGGCACACAGGGCTTATGTCATCCTAGACTTGAAGCCCACTGCTAGGCTTACTCCTCCAATAGAGGTTCCCTGTCCCAGGCTTCCAGCTGTGGGCTTTGCTTCTCCAGGGTCTCCTGGCCCCTGCTCAGGTCACCTAGGAGCTGGAGCAGGCCTATTTGGCCACAAGTCCCCTGGGGCCCACAAGGGTGACCCAATGCCCTTTTGCCAGGGTGCTGGCGTTTCTCAGGCACGGGAACACCCTCTCCCTCTTCTTGTTCTTCCCAGCTTCTTTGTGGCTTGGGATCTATGAACCTTCGGCCTGGATGCTGCCTCTTGGTGACATCAGACTCCATCCAAGGAAGCGATCGCCGGCCGGGGTGCTGCCGCTTAACTTGGGGGACATTTAAGAACCAGGAATCCAGAAAGAAATCTGGTAACCAGGATGGTGGCAGCCAGTCACCATCCTCCTCGTCTACCCGTGAGTACTTATCCTGGTTGGCACGTCTGCCAGGGTGCTGTCGTTTGTGGATCCTCCAGGCACCCCCTTCTCTCAAGTCCCCCCTCTCTTCAGCTTCAAGTCCTTCCTCTTCCTCCTCCCTTTTGCCTGGGTGCTGGCGCTTCGTGATCCAGGAGTCTGAGAAGGAAAAGCCAGTGTGGGAGAACCTGGCCCCTTCATCGGGGACACTTGCCTGCAGGCCATGACACACTTCAGACTTGCTCTCCGTCCTAGCACTTCAGGCAGCTCCTCCTTCCCACTGTCTGTTCCTCAGGCCTTATAGACACCCTCCTACACTGATGGTCAAGCACCTCACTCTTCCAGCCCCAATTCTCTACTTCCTTGCTGGGTGACCATAAGCCACTTGACTTCTCTGAGCCCCAGCTGTCAGTAAAAAAATGGCAATATGTCCTTATAGACAGGGTCTTAGATACAAGAGTTTAGTAAATGGTAATTAAACTGTCACAGATCGGGGCCTCATGAAATTGTGACTACTTGAAGTCTGACTTCTGATTCTTTCTAGCACTGAGAATTATTGTGGTCCCAAGGGGTGGTCACCTCTCTACCCTGTTAAGGAAGTGGCTATGAGGCTATGAGCTTCTTAAGTCTGGAAGAGACAGGACAGGTGGCTCCCCTAGCTCCCCCCCAACCCACACAACACTTCTCTCCCCCTATACTTACCTAAGGCTGCACCCAGGTCCCCTCGTACCCGCTGAAGGTCTTTCGGCAAGAATCGACGTTCTGGCCGGATGTGGACATTTCCCAGGCCAGGAAGGTCTGGAGTCGCCGCACCTTCCTCCTGGGCTGCCTCTGGCAAGGCACAGGATTCAGGGATACCGGTGAGGGTGAAGATCAGAGCCAGAGCCAGCAGCAGCCAAGGGCTCGGCATGGTGGTGTCTAGGGTCAAGGGCAGTGGGAATAAGGGTGAATGCACAGCGCTCGCTGCTCTGGGGTAGTCGGCCCCACCCTCCTACCTCCACTCCAGAACACGGGTCACCTACCATCTACGCCTGGTGCATCTGAGCCTCTGCTACCTGTCCTGGTCCACTAGGGTGCCACGGTGCCCTATCTAAGCCAGGGGGTGGTGGGAAGCCCGCTGTCCCCGCCATCCCTTACTGCCTCCCGAAGTTGGAAGAGTCAGCGCTGCGTTTGGGACTGACAGCCCCACGGTCGTGTTCCCCTTTAAGGTTGCAGTGCCGGCCAGAGAAGCTAAAGTCATCCCCGCCCCAAAGCTCCATCTACAGCCAACCTCCTTACTCCAGAGCTGAGATTCTGGCTCGCGTGCATGAACTCCACATGCAACCCTTTGCTCCTGTGCCTAGGCTAAACTAAGACCCTCCTTGGACGCCCACACCCTGATTCCTAAGTGAAGGTTCTGTTTCTAAGGTTAGTGTACAAATTCGAACCCCGAGTTGGTCCGACTGTCCCAGCGTGGACCTGCTAGCCGACCTCTTCCATCCAGCGCTCCTGATGCCCTGGCCAGTGCATCCCGGGAAGGCGGCGGGGCGGGTGGAGGGAACACCTGTTCGGGGTCCCAGGGTCAGTGGCGTTACCTGCGAAGTGGGGACTCCGCCGGGCAGTCCGAGCTACTGAGCTGCAGAGTGCGAACTGGAGGAGTAGAGTCTGCAGCCCTCAGGATCGCGCGTGGACTGCGCGCTCTTCCGAGGGGCCGCGGCTTATATGCGCTCCCGACGGCGGCGCCCGTGAGGTCAGCGGGGAGGGGGCGCAGGCCGAGGGCAGGGGCGCTGACAGCATTGCCGGGGACCCGCCCGTTTTCCGGAAGCTCGGAGGGGGCCGAGCGAGGGGGCGCGGCAGACGCAGGTTGGCGGCTGCACCCAGCTCCGGAGGTCTATTGACTAAGAGAACATCTGATCAGGGAACAAAGGGAGGGACAGACATCCCGGGAGTAGTCCGCGATGGAGAGGAGGCAAGAGGAGTGAGGACTAAGAGACACAGGCATGCAGACACCCAGAGACAAGACATATGCTGGGTGTGGGCAACAACAGAAAGGAGGTGGCGACTTGTGGCACCTAGTCTTGACTGTGATCCCTTCCTCTGTTTCCTCATCTGTGCAATGGGAGAGGGTAAGGTAGAACACAGTTCCACAACGGTGGCGCTATGGCTGCAATCAGCTCCTGGGGATGCTAGGCTCAACTCCCACAAGGTCCTGAAAATATCTAAGTAAACACCAAAGCTAGAAGTTAAGAACAAAATTGGGGGCCTGTGAGACGGCTCGGTAGTTAAGGGTGCCTGCGGCCAGCACTGACCACCTGAGTGGATTCCAGAAGGTTGTCCTGTGACTTATACACTCTGAGGACTGTGTCGCTCACAAGCCTTCCCACCCTAAATAAGTAAATGTTTAGTGCAAATTAATTAACAAAAAGGACAAAATTGGCCTCTCCAGAAAACAATTCGTCCCACGTATCTCCCTGACCTCAGCCAGCTGGGACAGAACCAAGGAGTTCCTAGTGACCATGCTCCCCAACTCTTTCTGTAGACTCCAACTGTGCTGCCTAGCCACCCCAAGAAGAATGCTGGAGCCACTGATAGCCTCCTCACACTCTGATTCTTCAGGCTAAATAATTGAATATTTAGTGCATAACCCCGGCATGCTAGTAGACTGGCAGGAGATTCCAAAAGCATCCAAATGTTACTCCTGCTCCTGGTAGATAGAGGCGCTTCCTGGACATTTACACCCCCCGCCCCCATCATCTCCTTACCCCTTCCTGTCACCGGCGGGAGAAACAAGACACAAGGTTGGGACTGATAGTCCCACTTTACACAGATAAGACTCAGAGCTGGATGGAGGAAAAGCCACTGAGAGGTAGAGGTGGGGGGGGGATGTTGAGACTTCAGCTAGAGACCTTGCCTTAGTTTTAGATGAAGACGGGTAAGGGTCTGGGGTCATGCTCTGACTCAGCTTCCTGACCTCCAGGCACTTCCGTGTCTCTGGGTCATAAGAGGGTCTAAGATGGGAAATCTAAGACCGCAGTTTGACCCCTGCTCCCCAGCCAGACTGAAGAATTTGTCATCCTGCCTGTTTCCTCCTGGTTGGATTTGACCACGGCTATTCTGAATCTGAGCAGCTGCAACCAAGCACAGAAAACCCTTACCCGCTAGGGCCTGTAAGGAGTCCTGACTGGGGGCTGGACACTGCAGCTGTGCCTCAGGGCACTTCCTAGGGATGCAGCTGCCATCCAGTCACCCAGGCCCCACCATGTAACTCCAATAAACTCCTTGGTTCACCTTTCTTTGACCCATTTGTACACTCTGTATCTGGGGTGAAAGAATGATTCTCTCTCCCCTTAAAAGGTCATGTGACACTAGCTAGCTTGCAGATCTGTTCTCTGCAAGTAAGAACGGACCCTGTGGCTTACCAGACAAAGACAATTCCCTTGTACAGATTCTCAAGTCTATGCCTGAGGAAGCTGCTCAAAGGTTATCCAGTGCAGCACAGCATCTAGAAGTCATGATTGCAAACAGCCAGATGCCTGTCCATTAGGAGGGGGCTGCTTAAAGTAATCCTTCTTTAAAGTAGCCTATCCTAATGGGCTGCTTAAAATAGCCTATCAAGTTATACAAGACTGGTAGAAGCAGAGTGGTGGAAAATGTGTGCACAGGACATGTTGGTGTGCAGGCGAGTCAGCTGGCCTGCCCTCAGGGGCCTTCAGGGGCCTGACAACGCCCTACAACATCACCTGCACCAGGTTTGCTAGGTACACAGGATATAAGTATCTGCCTGTCACCCAGCTCAATCCCTGTCTCTTGGTCTATCTCAGTCTCTTTCTCTCTCCGTCTTCAAGGCTCACACAGGCTCTAACTCCTCTCCTCTTCCCCTCCCCTCAAATAAACCTCCTTTATACCACATATGCTGTGTGGCTGTAATCATTATTATAACAGGACAGACCACCAGTGGACCACTAAGCCTCTTACATAAAGAATGGGCCAGAGAAAGGGAGGTAGGACAGACCTTCAACACGATGCAGGATGCAGGAGGCTTGCTTTTCACTGTCAGTTCTTCTTCTGCTGCTGATTAACATAAAAAAAACTTTTATATTGATTCTTTGTGAGCTTTACATCATGCATCCCAGTCCTGCTCATCTCCTTGTCCCCTCATATTCACCCTTTACCCTTGCAACTACTCCCCCCAAATAAAACAGACAAACAAACAACAAAAAAAAACCCAAAGCATAGAAAACATCTCATGGCGGAAGCTGTAGTATGTCAGTGTGTCCCACAGTATGTCCCTCTGTCCACACATCTTTACTTGCAAATGTTCATTGCAACAGGCAACAGGTTATTGGTCTGGTTCAGGACCTTTGGCTTCTGTGACATTATCAATACTGAATCCTCATGAACATTCTTCCTGGTTATCCTATTGCTGCCCTGTGTCATGGAGATCCTGCAGCTTTTGAACAGCAGGCCTGGCCCTTTCACGCATCCCAACTGTTTGCAGATGATATAGATTTTGGGGTGGGCCAATTCAGAGCCCTAGATCTGGGCCTAGGGGATAGCTGAGCTACTCAGCCCACTGGTTCTCCCTTATCCACACCATGAGGGTGAGCTCTCCAGCACTGCCTCAGTTAGGCCAACCAGCGTCACCATTGGCAAGAGGCAGGGTCAGCTTTCCTGCTCTCATGCACTCAAGATGGCTCACCTGCACCTATGGCTCCAGAGCCAGCCCCTGCTGTGCTGCCCAGTCAAGGGTCAGGGCTCAACTCTCCCAAATCCTGTAGCCTCTGAGGGGCTGGGACAACAATCCTGCTCTCACACCCTCGTGGCTGGCTCACCTGTGCCTATCTCATCAGGGCCAGCTCCACTGTATTGCCCAGACGAGATGCAGGGTCCATTCTCCTGAGTTGCAAGAGCAATGAAGGAGTAGAGTTAGCTCTCCTAAGCTCATGACCCTGTGGGCAGCTTTCCTGGCTGCTTGAGGAGGCAAGGGGAAGGGAGTGTCTGGCATCACCTCTGCACCTGTGCCATCCCTTGGCAGATGAGTGGCAGGGTCAGCTCTGCCACATTCATATCCACAGGGCTGGCTCACCCATACCCCACACCACCAGGACCAACTTCACTGTGCTGTCTGGCCGAGGCACAGGGCCTGTCTCCTGAGTACTGCCACCTATGAAAGATGGGGCTAGCCCTCCAGAGTGCCACATCCAATGAGGAACAGAGCCAGCATGCACAGAAAAACAAAAACCACAAAACAAAAACAGTCTAAACTCATTAAGAACTGACAGTTACTCACTGGCAATGATCAAAGAGAGACCTTGTTGTTGGTGGTGTTCTTATATCAGTCAGGAGAAGAGCAAATGACGGTCCTTTGTTTATCCTAGCTTGATGCCTGGCTTGGTGGCCAAAGCTGTCTTATGTCTAGGACTCATAAAAATTTAATCAAATCAAACTCAGGCAGCGCAGCACAGGAGGAGGAAGATAGACAAAAACCTGTGGACCTCCAGGTCACCCACAGACCAGCACAAATGGAGGATGTCGCCCAGGGACCTTCCAGTCCCATGGCCAGCCTGCAGCCGGAGCCACCACAATGTACGAATATGTGGTGGCCAGATTGGAGAGAGGAGAAGTGGAGCAGCTTGAGCATTATGAAGAGAGGTGAAACTGGAGACTCAAGGGGGTAGAGGAGTCGCCTGTTATCAGTGGCAAGCCCCGCCACCTGGGGCTATAGTAAGGTCTCAGCCTGAGCTGCCACTGAGGGCATGTCTTCTGCTGGAGCAGCTGCCAGGGACTACATGGATGTCCTAGCAACTGTATAACTAGTGGGTGGGAAAAGAATGCAGTAAGGCTAGTTTTTCCCCTCAGGTGGCTGGACATGTCTCCACCTAGCTGGCCTTAGTTCAGGCTTGTGCTTTAAACTTTAAAATAATAGCCATTGATTTTTAATTCATTGATTTTTAAGTCTTTCACTATTATGTAGCCCAGGGAGGCCTCCAATTTGAGATCCTGCTGCCTCACTCTCCCAAGTGCTGGATTACAGGACTGTGCCACCATGACTGCTTATAAAGAATGTTTAGTTGCAGTCACGTCCTTCTGACCTATTGGCTTCGCTTTACCTGAGTAATCCAATCTACATTTTAATGGTAATTCCTGACCCACATGTATTCTCTCTCCCTCTCCCTTTCCCCTGAGGATCCAACCCAAGGGCTTTCCGATTGAACTGTAGGAAGGACGAGTTTTAAGTTTTGAAAATGAATAGTGGGATTGTTTAATGGCAAATATGAGCCTCTATTTCTAAACTCTAGCACCTTAACACACAACACTGCAGCTGTGTTAAATCTGGGTGTCCTTAGGTGGTGGTCATACAATCAGCAAGCCTGGAGGTCATTAAAAATTGCCACCCCCACCCCCATCAGCTTTGGACTGTTTTCCCAGTGAATAAGCTAATTTTAAGAAAGGGGACAATGAGACAGTTGCCCTTTTTAGAATTTAAAATACCCTGAGAAATGATAGAGGAAGCATCACAATTGTCACTCCCTGAAATTTCAAATAGCATAAGAAAGGGAAGGAGGAGTTAATGGGCTTTGTGCAGGAGCATTAAGGAAAATCTATTTCCTCCTGGGAAAATGTGGCTACTGTGTGGATTTAGTTTTTATGGGTCCAGAGCTTAATTACAATTTACCTTGGGCTAGCTTTAGTCCCCCCCACAAATAGCCATTTCTTGTCTAGCTCTGTGCCAGACCTAACATCCTGTGGCTCACAGATACAGATTCTTCAATTCATACAAATGTATGAGCAGACCTCTGATTTCTCCACCCATCAAAGGGCTAAGAATGCTGTCATGTGGCTGAACAGAGTTCTCCCAACTTTGCCATGACATGTCTGCTTCTACTGACGTATTTGCCTTGCTTTGTTCTGTAACTAATCAAAACTTCATGAAACTGCTTCCATGTTACA